AATGTTGACACCCAATTTTGACCCACCCCGATAAGAATTAGTTCACGAGCTTCTCAATTTTCAAACGATTTACAATAATCGATTTTATAAAATTCATATATTTATCGAGTTTACTTTAAGTAAGTCTAGTCGATTTTATAGTATTTTATAGTTATATGTGTAATTAGTGTTTCTTAAATATTTGAAAATCGTCTCAAAGAGATTTTAATTTTTAGTAAGTACTTTGTTAAATTAGTTTAGTTTAAATTATGGTTATAATTTTGAATCATTAGTTTAAAATTAGGTTAATTATTTTATTTCGTTAAGGTTAAGATGCTCATTAATTAACTAGTATTAATTCATCTTATTTAACTTTGGCCGAATTCACCAATTAAGTTCAAGTCGGCTAAGCTTTTAACTTCGTTCGGTTATAATTGTAATCTTATGTAATTGCAATATTAGCCACTTCTTAACATTTCCTTCAACCCATTTTTAAGACCCAAAATTGGGCCACCTTTTGGCCCAATTCGTTTTCCAGCCCACCACCAGGAACCCAATTCCTCTTTTGTTCTTCAACCCATTTTGAATTCCCAAATTTCCAGATTTCAGCCCACGAATTTAATACTAAACAAACCCATTCCACACAATACACACATCATATCCAAACAACAATTCCAAATGACCCAACAGCAATATACGTACAACAGTCCTAAAATCAACAAACAGTAGCCGACGCAGACCCGACCCTTGTACGTCGTTCTCCTTCTTCCTCATCGTGACCCGCACAGAACGAAACCCAGCATCGACCCGAATTCAGCAGCTCACGTGAACTAGACAGCAGCAATACGCGACTTCTTCTCCTTCACACGTCAAAAAGACGGAAAGCTGCCATCGTCTTCATCGATGGAACAGCAGGAACAGACCTGCGGTTGCGTCTTGGAACAACCGCCTGTCAAGCCATCCACGCCCTCTTATCGTGCGGATTTTGGGGGATTTCGGTTGAAAATTTTCAAATTGAAGGTTGAACTCAAATTCCTATTCTACCCTTTTTCCCCAATTTCGAACCCCAATTCCCTTTCTATAAATACATTCTTCTTGTTCTTGATTTGGATATTCAGATGGGGCCTGCAGAATTCAATGTGGAGTTTCAGGTGTTGGACATCAATACCAGCTACAATTTGCTTCTGGGAAGACCGTTTATCCACATGGTTGGGGCTGTGCCTTCTACCCTTCACCAATTGATGAAATTTGTTTGGAAGGATCAAGAATTGGTCATTCATGGTGAGGGGAGTCATTCCGATGGGTATGCGCCGGTCGTTCATGAGGTTTCTTGAGGTTGTGATTTCTACACGGTGGAGCTGGTAAATGCCACCGGTGATGATTTGGCTCCGTAACCTCCTATGCCCTCCGTGTACAAGATGATTGCTACCGTCATGCTCCAGAATGGTTTCGAACCAAGTTTTGGATTGGGGAAGTACTTTCAAGGGATCGTCGAGCCTATCCAAATTCCCTCCAAAGGAGCAAAGTTTGGTTTGGGTTATGTCCCCACAGAGGCTGATGAAGCAGAGATGAAGAATAGGAGTATTGATCAAGCATTGGCCAAGCCAATTTCTCATCTATACCAGTCATTTTCGGTACGAGAAAATGTCAACGATGGTGGTCTCGGGGAAGGAATCTGGGGCCTATTTGAGGAGATTGATGCGGTCATCGAGGAAGAGGCTAGAACATCAAGCATCCGTGATGTAAAACCTGATGAGCAATTGCAGAACTGGACCTCCACACCACTCCTGATTTCCCGCTCATCTAGGTATAAAGGACATGTGTTTTTGTTTATTTTTAAAACGGTGGTAGTCCGGAAAAGGCCCGAGACCCACCCTTTATGCACTTGTTATTTGTTTGAAGCTTTTAAATTCTCTTGTGATGTTTTAAAAAAAAAGGAAGGCAAAATGGCTCTCGGCCATGACCAAAGTTTGTGCTTGTCTTTCAATTTAAATGAAAAGCCTCTTTTATTAAAAATTTGTTTATTTATCTATTTATATTTTACTTTCCTAACTTTGTTTATTTATGATTTCAGTAATATTAATTTAAAACCTGTCAATGTCATGAATCGAGTGAACGAAATGAAGTAGGTGATGACGAATGTGAGGAATACGAAGAAGAAAATGAGGTACCCGAACATGTTGTCGAAGAATTTCGACAATTCGTGAATCAACATAAGCCAAATCTTGAAGAAACTGAAACTGTGAATCTCGGAGATGAGGAATGCGTCAAAGAAGTCAAAATTAGTGTCCATCTGACTGAAGCCCAAAGAAGAGACCTGGTTCATTTGCTCAGGGAATACATTGATGTATTTGCCTGGTCTTATAGAGATATGCCAGGATTGAGTACGAATATGGTGTCCCACAAGTTGCCAATCAATCCAGATTTCAGTCCAGTAAAACAAAAGACTCGGAAGTTTAAGCCTGAGTTGAGTTTAAATATCAAAGAGGAGATTACAAAGCAGATCGAGTCCCAAGTAGTGGAAGTGACGCAGTATCCGACTTGGTTAGCTAATGTTGTTCCGGTTGCCAAGAAAGACGGAAAAATCAGAATTTGTGTTGACTACAGAGATCTTAACAAAGCTAGCCCGAAAGATAATTTTCCATTGCCAAACGTTCATATCCTCATTGATAACTGTGCTAAGCATGAGATGCAGTCGTTTGTGGATTGTTATGCGGGTTATCACCAGATCCTGATGGATGAAGAAGATGCCGAAAAGACAGCTTTCATCACGCCCTGGGGTATATATCATTATCGAGTGATGCCTTTTGGTCTCAAGAATGCTGGTGCTACTTACATGAGGGCTATGACGACCATCTTTGACGATATGATTCACAATGAGATCGAGGTGTATGCAGATGATGTCATAATCAAGTCTCGCGAGAGTTCGGATCACTTGACTCACTTGAGAAAATTCTTTGATCGTCTGCATCGATACAATTTGAAGTTAAATCCCGCTAAATGTGCTTTTGGGGTGCCAGCTAGCAAGTTGTTGGGATTTATAGTCAGCAGAAGGGCCATTGAGCTTGACCCTTCCAAGATCAAGGCGATCCAAGAATTACCTCCTCCGAAGACCAAGAAAGAGGTGATGAGTTTCTTAGGAAGGTTGAACTACATCAGCCGGTTCATAGCTCAATCCACCGTGGTGTGTGAGCCCATCTTTAAGTTATTGAAAAAAGATGTCTCGACCAAGTGGACCGGAGAATGTCAAACTGCTTTTGATGCCATCAAGAACTATTTGTCCAATCCACCGGTGTTGGTCCTTCCACGAGAAGGGAGTCCATTATTGCTATATTTGTCGGTCTCAAATAACGCATTGGGATGCGTGCTTGGTCAACATGATGAGACTGGGAAGAAGGAGCGAGCCATTTATTACTTGAGTAAAAAGTTCACTCCATATGAGGCTCGTTACACTCTTTTGGATAGAACATGTTGCGCTTTGACTTGTATCGCTCAAAAGTTGAGACATTATTTGTCTTCTTATACCACGTACCTTATCTCCAGGATGGATCCACTGAAGTATATTTTCCAGAAAGCAATGCCGATCGGGAAGTTGGCTAAATGGAAAATGTTTTTGAGTGAGTTTGACATTGTGTATGTGACACAAAAGGCGATAAAAACACAAGTCGTGGCTGATCATCTTGCAAAGAATCCCGTTGATGAAGAGTATGAACCACTCCAGACTTATTTTCCCGATGAAGAAGTTGCATTCGTGGGTGAAGATATTTCTGAAGCGTACCCAGGTTGGAGAGTGTTCTTTGATGGAGCGGCAAATCACAAGGTATTGGAGCAGTCTTAGTATCAGAATCCGGTCAACACTATCCTATGGCAGCTAAACTCCGATTTAATTGCATAAACAACATGGCTGAGTATGAAGCTTGCATCCTCGGTTTAAAGATGACAATCGACATGAACGTTCATGAGCTTCTAGTTATTGGAGACTCAGACTTACTGATTCATCAAGTTCAAGGAGAATGGGCCGTGAAGAATCCAAAAATCACACCGTATGTGCAGTATATACAAAAGATGTGCAAGAGATTTCGCAAGATTGAGTTCAGACATACTCCAAAACACAGAATGAGTTGGCCGATGCTCTTGCCACCATTGCCTCAATGATCAAACATCCGGATTCAAGTTATATTGATCCCTTAGATATAGAGGTAAAAGAGCAGTCTGTCCATTGTTCACATGTTGAAGCGGAGCCAGATGGTTTGCCTTGGTATTTTGACATCAAGAAGTATTTAGAGGACGAGACTTATCCTGAGAATGTAACGCTCAGCCAGAAGAAATCGATACACCGTATAGCCCTCAATTTCTTTGCAAGTGGGGAAATCCTTTACAAGAGGACTCCAGATTTAGGTCTTCTCAGATGCGTTGATGCTAATGAAGCTGCGAAGCTTCTGGAACAAATACATACCGGAGTTTGTGGTACTCACATGAATGGGCTCACTTTGGCGAGGAAGGTCCTTCGAGCCGGTTATTTTTGGATGACTATGGAACATGATTGTTGCAAGTTTGTGCAGAAATGTCATAAATGTCAAGTGCATGGTGATTTGATTCGAGTGCCGCCTCACGAACTTAATACTATGAGTTCACCTTGGCCTTTTGTAGCTTAAAGAATGGATGTCATTGGTTCAATAGAGCCAGCCGCCTCTAACGGACACAGATTCATTTTGGTTGCCATTGACTACTTCACCAAGTGGGTGGAAGCAACTTCGTATAAGTCGGTGACCAAAAAGGTTGTAGCTGATTTTGTTCGCAATAATTTAATATGCAGGTTTGGAGTGCCAGAATCCATCATTACTCATAATGGAGCGAATCTTAACAGTCACTTGATGAGAGAGATATGTGAACAATTCAAGATTACTCACCGAAATTCCACCGCCTATCGTCCCCAAATGAACGGAGCTGTAGAAGCCGCCAACAAGAACATAAAGAAGATTTTGAGGAAGATGATTGACAATCGCAGAGGTTGGCACGAGATGTTGTCATATGCTTTGTTGGGTTACAGAACGACTGTCAGAACATCAGGCGGAGCAACTCCATATTTGTTGGTGTATGGGACAGAAGCAGTTATACCTGCCGAAGTTGAGATACCTTCATTGAGAATCATCCAAGAAGCTGAACTAAGTGATGCTGAATGGGTTCGCAAGAGGATTGACCAGCTAACATTGATTGATGAGAAGAGAATGGTTGCCGTTTGTCATGGTCAACTGTATCGACAAAGAATGATTCGTGCTTTTCACAAGAAAGTAAGAGCCAGGATATTTGAAGTTGGTCAGTTGGTTCTTAAGCGTGTTTTCCCTCACCAAGATGAATATAAAGGAAAATTTGCGCCAAATTGGCATGGACCCTACATGGTTCGCAAAGTGTTATCCAGAGGTGCCCTAGTCCTGTCGGAGATGGATGACACTGAATGGCCGAAACCGATCAACTCAGATGCTGTCAAGAGATACTACGTGTAAAGTTTCAGTTTGTATTTCTGTCATTCCCTTGTAATCGTTCTATTTGCTTGTAATTGCTTTGTTTAGAATTTTATCCCTCTTGTAATGAACTACGTCTGACCTGAATTCTCAAGAATGAGATACGTAGGCGGCCTATGTCGGCCTCGGTCACTCTTTTATCCCCTTTTAATATTGTTCCTTGTACTTGAACTACGTTCGACCTGAATTCTCAAGAATGAGATACGTAGGCGGCCTATGTCGGCCTCGGTTGGTTTCTTTGTAAATTTCTTATTTTGTTAATACCGAAGGGGGAACTACGTTTGACCTGATTCCTGCCTCAATGGATACGTAGGCGACACAACGGCTCGGTCATATCTCCTGTAAGATTTATACTTTTCCTTTACAATAGAAACTGGGACAGAATTTTTGAGAGGGACTCAAAAATTCCCAAGAAGAAGATCTCTCCAACAAAGTTGAGACTGAAGTTACTTTGAGAATTGTAACTGGGACAAAATTTTTGAAAAGGTCTAAAAAAAAATTAAAAAAAATTCCGTGACTTGATCACTAACGGTTAAAGATACACCAAGACAGTTAACTAGGACATAAATTTTTGAGAATGACCTCAAAAATTTCAACTGGGTTTATCGGCAGTTTAAAACAACTTTGAATACTTCCCAAACGAGTAATCAGATAGACCTCGAGGCAACAACTTCAAAAATGTTCGCTAGAGCTCGACGTGACATGGCACTTGGCAATGACCTTTTCCAAATATTATTTTCTTGAAAATCTATTTTTTCTTAAAACTTTTCTTTCATGTTTCAATTATTTTGCATAAAAATATTTTGTCTTATCTATCAAGAGGCGGGGGATCGAAAAAATCAACCAGAGATAGCAAGACAATAAGCAGACAACCGAAGAGATCGACACAGATCAGTTCATTTTCAAACTAACAATTTTTCAATGGATGCAAGCCTACAAGCTCGTCTCAAGATCAACATATTCCTCCATGCAATAAATGTGGAAAAAGTTGAAAGGGCGAGAAACTCCCCAAAATTAATAATTTTTCTTTGGATACAAGAAATATTTTATGTTTCTCATATCAAAGATGTGGGAGGTCCATAATGAACATGCAATTATGTTTAGAGATAGAACAACTGAAAACCTTGAAAAGAAAATTTTATTTATTTTCCAGCAACGAAAGACACCTAGATAACGTTTATATGCATCATATTATCGGACACGCTAATATAACCACCCGGAGAGTTATTTATGTCGTATTGTCAAATGAGACGATACCACTACTCTGAGGGTCATTTTTATTATATTGTCCATTGAGACAATACCGCCACCCAAAAATACCCTAGAAGATCACCTATGTTGCTCGGTGAAGCATTATCTTCGTTCGGTACCAGGGATGGCATCATCAAGACAAGATTCATGCATAGCAAAATAAGAAAGTCATGTATCGCGGAGAAATAATCCATCACGGGAAAATCCATGCATTGCAAGAGAAGATTCATGCATCGCGAGAAAATTTCCATGCATTACAAGAGAAGATTCATGCATTGTAAGGGAAGATTCATGTATAGAAAAAAAATAAAAATCATGCATAGCAAGAGAAATATTCATGCATTGCAAGAGAAAGATTCATGCATCGCAAGAAAAAGTCATGCATCGCAGAAAAAGAAATCACGCATCGCGTGAAAATTAACGTCGGCTGCATCATTTTCATTTGCAAGAACAACATCAAGAGAACCATCAACAACGACATCAAGAGAACTATCAACATATTACATCTACTTGTTTTATTACTTCATCATCAAAAGAAGAGTACATTGAAGATTATATTACAAATACAAAATACGAGCTTTATTTGCTTTACATCAAACCGGACAGAGTTTACGTCAAATATTCAAGGAGAACAATTAAGTGTCAACACGATAAAAGACACTATTCCTCCATTTAAATGGCATTTTTATGCTAATGAGTTTTATCTCAGTCCTTGTCGAGAGCATCCAAGAGGATGAATTCTCAAAACAAACCACAGGTGCAGACGACATCAACTAGGATGCAGCACAACGTGGAACTTTTTCTTAGCAGCGAACTGGGACATAATCCAAAGAGGAGTGTCAAACTCTTAGGACGCGAGCAGAGAAGCGACTTTCACCACAATCAAACCACACCCCCATCAGAAGGCATGTGGGTTTTTCTTAGATTGGTCAGTTCCTATTTTGCATCCGAAAAATTTTGGGTTCACCGGAAGCAATTTTTCAATCTGAGTGACAATGCACCAAGAGCCTTGGAAATTATGTCTATGTAAGTTCTTACTTATGGATGTGAAGAGTTCCGCATTCATGGCTAAAAGGTTGCAAACATCTTTTTCATACTCGACCTACTTTGTCATTTTCCAGAACCAAAGGTTATCTCGCATAATGGATTTCCTTTTCAGTCGATCGAGTCGAACTACAAGCAGCCTGATTCCCTAAGTTGAGGGATATGTAGGCGGGATCAATGTAGAAAACTCGGTTGTAATCCAACATTCACTCTCAAATCTTATTCTCGAGCGTTCCGGTCCCTTCATAATTTGATATCGGAATGACTTATGAATTCTTTTAAAATCGTGCGTCAAATCAAGCGTATCGAACTGCAAGTGGCTTGAATTCTCATATAGCATGAGACATGTAGGAAACCCGTTTCCGGGGTTTGGCCATAATTCCTAAAGTCCGTACCAAAATCCTTTTCAAAAGATGAAGATGTGATCAGTCAAAATTGGATTTGTCAATTTCATTCTCCTCAGATTTTCTTTCATCAACCCGAGTCAAACGAGGGACAGTTGTTGACACCCAATTTTGACCCACCCCGATAAGAATTAGTTCACGAGCTTCTCAATTTTCAAACGATTTAGAATAATCGATTTTATAAAATTCAAATATTTATCGAGGTTACTTTAAGTAAGTCTAGTCGATTTTATAGTATTTTATAGTTATATGTGTAGTTAGTGTTTCTTAAATATTTGAAAATCGTCTCAAAGAGATTTTAATTTTTAGTAAGTACTTTGTTAAATTAGTTTAGTTTAAATTATGGTTATAATTTTGAATCATTAGTTTATAATTAGGTTAATTATTTTATTTCGTTAAGGTTAAGAAGTTCATTAATTAACTAGTATTAATTCATCTTATTTAACTTTGGCCGAATTCACCAATTAAATTCAAGTCGGCTAAGCTTTTAACTTCGTTCTGTTATAATTGTAATCTTATGTAATTGCAATTATGGTCACTTCTTAACATTTCCTTCAACCCATTGTTAAGACCCAAAATTGGGCCACCTTTTGGCCCAATTTGTTTTCCAGCCCACCACCAGGAACCCAATTCCTCTTTTGTTCTTCAACCCATTTTGAATTCCCAAATTTCCAAATTTCAGCCCACTAATTTAATACTAAACAAACCCATTCTACACAATACACACATCATATCCAAACAACAATTCCAAATGACCCAACAGCAATATACGTACAACAGTCCTAAATACAACAAACAGTAGCCGACGCAGACCCGACCCTTGTACGTTGTTCTCCTTCTTCCTCATCGTGACCCGCACAGAACGAAACTCAGCATCGACCCGAATTCAGCAGCTCACGTGAACTAGACAACAGCAGTACGCGACTTCGTCTCCTTCACACATCAAAAAGACGGAAAGTTGTCATCGTCTTCATCGATGGAACAGCAGGAACAAACCTGCGGTTGCGTCCTGGAACAGCCGCTTGTCAAGCCATCCACGCCCTCTTATCGTGCGGATTTTGGGGGATTTCTGTTGAAAATTTTCAAATTGAAGGTTGAACTCGAATTCTTATTCTACCCTTTTTCCCCAATTTCGAACCCCAATTCCCTTTCTATAAATACCTTCTTCTTGTTCTTGATTAGGGGAGAGGAAAAAAAAAGGGGCTAGAGAGAATATTGAAACTTAACTAGCATTAGAGAGGAAGAAACCGACTTAAACCATATAGTTCTTGAAAACATAGGGAAATCGGAAATTCCGATTTCGTTCAGTCTTTGCTCTAGCTTGTTTTGTTTGTTCATCCAAATTTTCGGAATCGTACCTTAGTGGTGGTGAATTCGTTTCAAGCTTGTTGTCCCACGGTGCTACCCCGAAGAAGGTAACCTCTCATTCTCTTAAATTTATTTTGCCATTTCGGCTAAACTCAATTGTATGTAATGTGGATTTAATTCATTTTGTGGTTCGATTTGATGATTCCAATCTATGATATGCTCTTCTTGATAAAAGATATGGTTGTGTATTGTTTAAAATGGTAAAATAGTAGACATAATCTCGAAAAGCTAATCGATGTGGAGGTTGTGTGTTGTTTCGCCAATTGTTTGTGGAATATGACAACTTGTTTTCTCCATTTCGAATCTCATGGTTATTATACTTGCTCTAAAGTTTGGTTTATGCATTTGTTGATCACCAAGACTTTGTTCTGTCTCTATTTTTGTATTAGTTTTCTTGTTTTGATTATGTGTTCTGAAGGTGTCAAAGAAATTATTCTCTTGTTTCTTTGTATTTTCGGGTATTAAATAGCAAATTTTGTTCACATCAGCAGAGCTCCGTTTGTTATTATCCACCTTGTAGTGTAAGTGTTTTTTTTTTTCTTTTCGATATAGAACCCTCTGTTATGTTTCTCCTACAACTGCTGCCTCTTTGGTTTGTTTCCTGCCAGTAGGTTCATCCATATTTAAAATATATATATATATATATATTTTTTGTTGTTTTTTTTAAAAATATCTTTCTTTTAGGAAGTGGATGTGTTGTTCAATTGTGGTTGAAGCATTGAGTCAACTTAGTGCAACATGCCTTAAATGATTTCTTATTGTTTCTTCGGTTGTGGGTTCTGCAAAGGACATCTAATCGTGTTTGTTTGCTCGTTTGCCTAGATTAATTATTGCGTTGTACGCTAAGATATTTCACTTCAATATTAATTGTGTTTAGGTTAGTTCATGAATTAGAATTGATGTATTCTATTTGTT